TTAAATTAACTCCAGTAATGTATGAATAACTTTATTGTGGTCTGCGACCAGTCACACTTGGCAAAAAGACATAAGGCAACATAAGAATCATTAAAACCCCTAACTTTATAACAATATTTCCCCACATAAAGCAGTAGTGGCTGTAAGAAATTTTGCAACTCCTCTGGAGAGGTTGAGGCTCCAGAGTCAGTGAGTGTTGGGCAGCATCAAAATCAAAATGAATGAATGAATGAATGAATGAATGAATGAATGAAAATTTAGCTGATAAAATCATCCTCAGAACAGGTGAAACTTCTGTTAAGCGGAGCTATCAGAGTAGGGCACAGGTTGCTATAGAAAAGACCTTGAAGGAACATGTTCCTCCAAATCACAAGGGCACCACTCTGCCATAAGGGCATTGTTATGCACACACACACACACACACACACACAGGGGTGTGTGTGTGTGTGTGTGTGTGTATCTATCTTGCAATGGGCAAGATATTAAAGCAGGCAAAAGAGAGAGTTTAAGTGTGTTGGATACGTAATCTGAACTGGTAATTTACTGGCTTGAAGGGCTTCCCTGTTTACACCTGACCAGTATAGATTACTTAGATCACCCTGATGTACCTGGAGGGCTATTTTGAATACCGGCTGCTAAATTACAGTTCTAGATTTCAGTAGCCCTTGGCCAACAAATTAAATCCAATATCTTGTTTACCTTTGCAAATCATTGATGCAGTTGATATTACTCTCCATGGATTTAACAATATCTCCTTCTGTCACAATAAAATTACAATTAGGTGGCCATTTTTGAGCTGCTCTAAAGGTCTACATTCAGGGCCTTTGGAGGCTTAATGTGAATGTGGAGTGTCAATCCCTCACCCTGCCACCAAACAATGACCTCATTTCCAGTTGAAGTTTATCCATAAATAAAGATATGACTATAATTATATTTATGTCCTATAAATCATATTCTCAGTCTATGTCCCTATATAATATCAATTACATACATAAGCAAGAAGTTCACAAGTTTCATGTTTATTTATTTATTTAATGTATTTAATTTATGGTCCTAGACCAAAACAAACATACCAGAGAATGATAAAAAATGGTAATAAATGCCAAAACATTTATGGTATTTACACAATTTATATAAACCTGTTGAGGTTCCCAATGTTGCTACTTAATCAAACATCTGATAGTGTTAGTACTTGCAATAAATTTGACAATTCTTCTGGAAACATCCAGAGATCTATCATCTAAGCTAAAAAGGTATTTTTCATTTCATGTTTTCATACGCAATGTGAATACTACCTCAGATTTTCACTGGTTGTATATACATTGTTTAACAACATTTCCTAATAAACTTCTTGCTGCATATTTATGTTGCAGGATATCAACATGTGTGTGTGTGTGTGTGTTAATTATATATGTACTGTATGTATAATTAATACATTTGTGTGTGTGTGTGTGTGTGTGTGTGTCTGTTTAAGTCAGTGTTGACTCCTGATGACTGCCTGGACAAGTCCCAGCAGTTTTCTTGGCAAGATTTTTGGAAGTGGTTTGCTATTGCCTGCTTCCTAGGGCTAAGAGAGGATGACTGGCCCAAATTTACCCAGTTGGCTTCCTGCTATACCAAATTGGCTCTCTCATTTTATTTTAAAAAAAAATCCCCTCTCACCCCTATGAGTGGTACGTGTCTTCCTTAATCTCTGGTCCTCTACCAGAGGCCTGGGAGTTTGAGGGTTCTGCGCAGTATCTTTGCTGTTCCTAGCACTGCACTCTTCTGGACAGAGAGCTCTGATGTTGTTCCTGGGGTCTGTTGGAGCCACTTTCTCAGCTTAGGAGTCACAGCTCCGAGTGGTCCTACCACCACTGGGACTACTTTGGCCTTTACTTTCCACATCCTTTTGTTCTTCCTTCAGGCCCTGGCACCCCTCCAGCTTCTCAAACTCCTTCTTCCTGATGTTGTTATCACTTGGCATTGCTATATCTATCACCGCTGCTATCTTCTGTCCTTGTCTATCACCATGATGTTTGGTTGATTGGCCAGTTCCTGCCTGTCCATCTGGATCTGAAAGTACCACAGGATCTTAGCCCTGTTATTTTCCACAATTATATTTACACACACACACACACACACACACACACATACATACATACCCTCTCACCCCTGTGGGTGGTCTGTGTCTTCCTCAATCTCAGGTCCTCTACCAGAGGCCTGGGAGTTTGAGGTTTCTGCGCAGTATCTTAGCTGTTCCTAGCACTGCCCTCTTCTGGAAAGAGAGCTCTGATGTTGTCCCTGGGATCTGTTGGAGCCACTCTC